AGCGATTTTGGAGGTGTAAGTGTGGTGACGATCGAGTGTTTGAGTACCAATAATACGCAAGGGCGTCTGCAGAAATACAAACCAGTGTTGTGAGAGGGGGGGGGAAGAAAAGTAAAAAAAGTCCATGATAATAATATATAGCACATATTATCATTTTTTTGATTTGTTTTGATAAATCGATTGGTTTGATAAAACTAGGCCGGAAGGGGACAAGCCCCCGTAACCCCCTGAGAGCATCTTCATCTGTATGACGTAATTATTAGCAATGTTGTATAGGCAGCACACCCACCTCGAGTCCTGACTTCGTCCGGAGCTTCCGGTTGTGAAAGGCGTAAACAACGGGCCTATGATGTCGGAACTTTTTGGAATGCCTTTATGGTTTTGAATTTTATGAAAGATATTATACTGAATGTGTATTTTTTAATTGTTGGTTCGTCAATTGTTTTCGATATAAGATGTATGTAAACGAAATGTGCTTAGACTTATCTAAAGGGTTTTCCCCACAATTATTAATTTTTTTTGAACAAATCATATTTTATATTTTTATTTTTTTATAAAACGAAACAAACGTAAAATAATGCAGCTTTTTCTTTGAGATAATTTTTGCTTTGTTTTAATCTGCGAAAAAGTAGGTTTTTGAAATCGGTGACTCGTCTGTTTTATGTAGAAAACAATTAAAATTAAATTATTATTTTTCGAGTAATCGTTAAATTGATGTGTTTTATAATATCACGACGTTTTCTATGAATAAATAATATATTTTTATATTCTTAACATTTTCGTTACCTATGTTTCTACCTTTTTACATTTTCGAAGAAAAATCATAAGTTATTCAGCCGGAAGTACTCGGACTACTACGGACGTAATCTCAGCAAAGGCGGTAGCCTCACAAAAACAGTAATTTTTTACGACGAACGCACGAACGTCGACGATTTCGGAAAGTATGCACTCAACGTATATAGAATTTACCTTCAGGCGCCCTTTTGTACAATATTAAATGAACAATGTGTACCTAAGTTCGTATGCGAAATTATTTTTTTCGGACTTGCCCGTCGCGCCTGAGATCTACAACATCTGATAAAAAAATCAATTTTTTAATCACCGTCGAACCGATTTGCGATCAACTTTGATTGGATTTGAATTATTTACTACATCGCTTTGTCTCGTCGACACTATCTTAAGCGCACGGGAGTGGAGGGAATGAACTTGTTGGTATCAGTACGATGATAAAGTATACAATTTTAAGTCAATGGAGGCTATCGTATAACCACCACTACGACATCGATCAGTGGCCCTGTCGTCACATGTAGGTATAATAATATATCATACGAATATTACAAATATATTCATGAATAAACCGCAACTTAAAAACTAATGTACATTAATAAAATTAAAACAAACAGATACAAACATGCTACGACAAAATTATAAAAAAAAAATTCGGAAAAATGTCTACTTAATGATAATTATAATAATAATAATGACATAGGTGGAGGTGCGATAACGCATGTCGTATTATGGATGGTTATAACTCACAATACGATGCGTTTACACACGATACAATATTATGTGATGAATATTACAGCTAAAATGGATAAACGTATTTTTTTCTCGTTCACATAATATCAGTACAGTACTACAGTATAATATGTCATAATAATAATAATAGTAATAATATTATATCGTTGTGTTGTATAAAACTAAACATTTAAAATTTTATTGAGCATTACATATATCGTGGTTATATATAATTTTGGTCTATAATATTATAGTCTCATAGATCATGTTCCAAAACCCTATCATCTATTAGTCAAACGTAAAATTATATTAAAATCAATGATAATAATCTTTTTGATGATGATGATGGTATTATTATTATTATTAATAAACTATTGCCGCTTACATCGCGCCATGTGAAATTGGTATAATGCACGCATCGCGCCTAAAACTATGCTGTTTGTATATTATAAACGCGAAATATGATTAATATTATTATTACATTACCTTATTTAGGCATATGCAGAGTACAATGATAAACGGTAAAGCAAACACAATGTATATAGATAATATATAAACTTTGTGTGTATACGTATATGTAAATTGATATACCTAATAATATATTAATACGTACAGTAAGATAATTATTATAATAATATAAATCGATCTACTGAGAATAAAATACTAAAAAATACGATTCATCTCTCTCTCTCTTTCTACATTTTATATTAATTATAACATTATGATAATATTGCCAAAGTTATTATAATAATAATATAATATATTTTATATTATTATTATTATAAGTCTTTCTAAATATACGACAACGCGTAGCGAGCACACCGTGCCGTATCTATAAAATATTGGAAGCTTCGTGTGTATACTATTACGCGCGTTTACTCCTATGAAATATATCATATAATGATAACGCGAAAACTTAGAATAATACATTTAATAATTTTGTATAGGTACATTATTATAAATGTCTATAGTGATATACAAAAGTATTACAACATGCGGTCGATCGTCGCGATGAGGGTGGTCGTCGTCGGAAATGATTTTCTGAAATCTCGAGATGAACGCATAATTATTAAAGGATGATCATGACGTGACAGTTTGTTTATGTTATATTGTGAGTAGCAGCGTACGAACGTGGACTCAGAGAAAAGTCATCTGCCCCCGAGAGCAAGACGATTATGGTATTAGTACAGGCAAAACCTCTTAACAATATTGTCGAAAACGTATGTTATCGTTATGACCAGGCAGATKTAATAATAATAATATGATATTATGTGAAAAACCATTAAAAATTCAATTATTGACGAAATAAAAATGCAAAACGCTACGCACATGCGCTCGGATCTTCGAGAGGAAATGTTGAAGACGCAAAAAAACAAAAAATACAAAATACAAAATAAATAGCCGTCGGGTGTTTTTTTTTTTTTTTTTATCATGGACTTATCATCTAACTTACTACTCTGGACGTCGACGTGAATGTCATCAACGCGAATTCGATTTTTAGAATGAAATAATATTAATTACGATAATGGAATGATATCGTCTTCGGCGGTTGCCTTATTATATATTGGCCGTATTCGATGATGAATATTATTTCGGTGTGCGATTAACGATCGGATCATTAATTCGGATGAGACGCTGATACTGCACCACGGACCATAATGTATAATAACAATTAGTCCAAATCATTGGCCAAAGTCGTGCGCGTTACGTTAACGTCTTTTTAACGACGTTCTCCATAGTCTCTGGGTCGTGTGATTTCACTGAAAGCCTTTCAAACGGGACACACTCTAGAAAATTTGTGTTGGAGACGAGACCAATGAAAATGACGACGTTGAATTTAAAAAAATCCATTCTGAGTTGTAAAATACAAACTCGACGGGGCTTGAACAAATTTGATTGCTGCGGCACCATTACGTGTTCGTCCACAATTTTCAGACAATCATTTCGACAGCAGGAAAGGACGGACCTCTACCTAACTATTATTTACTATAATCTATGTACATATTATTACACATAATATGTTTATACTCAGCCTTTGATTAAATTTAAAAATGGTAAAATGTTTATAATAATTATATAATCACTCTCTATGATAATAATAATACACTATTGTAAAAGTTTATAAGTAATAAAAATTTTGCTAAACAAAATGCGTTTTTTCGTATTTTTTTTTCTTGGAAACTTTTGTGTAAAAATTAAAATGAAATCGCTTTCGATACAGCACGAAAATCGTTCACACAGTCAGTTAAAATTTTAAAATCACAGCCTGCTAACGTATTGTTCAATCCTATTTTGTTGCGTTAATATACAATGTAATATTATGTCGTAATAATGATATACCCTAATGAAATATTTGTACATAATTATTTTGGTTGTTTTTTTTTTATGAAATCGATTACCATCTAGTGATGAACCACCTAACCTATGATCAGGCGATGATTATTATGGTAATAATTATATCAGTTACTATAGATGTTTTATCAAAATACTATGACTTACTAAAATATTTTAAACTTTTGTACTTAACTACTTATTTCATTAAACTTATCCGTTGGATCCCAATTTTCAATTTTCGAGCGATACACAACAACATATTACACTAAACGAGTTTTAAACACTTATTGCGCGTATAATATACTAAATAATATAGGTTTGTATAAAAATTAAAATGAAAAAAACATGATATATTTGTATTACGTATGTTCACCTTGCAATATTTGAGCAAATATTTTCCTGAATATTATTTAATAATATTTTTGAATTATTATATAATATCCGCCCAATAATCAAAATCCAAAAACGGCTCAAAAAGCATGATTATCAAAAAAGAAAAACCGTAAATTAAATTTGTATCGTTATTATATTGTTATCGATCGAGTCGAACGGTCATAGTAATATTATTATCGTATCATTTAATATGATATGAGTGTAATAATATTACAGTCGTCGCTAATCTGTAAAAAGTTCTGTAGAAAAAAAACATAGGTATTTTACATACCTCGACGAGGATCGCTTAGTATATTTATGTAATATATGTAGACCATAACTATGACGATAAAAAAAAAAGTTTCTCTAAAATATATTATCAGCCTAACATTGTTTAATGTATATAACATTAATATTATTGCTCGTTTCAAAACACACTACCTATATTTAATAACATTACAATATAGGTGTCCTGGTAAATAAATTGCTCGCGCTTAGAGGTACTGCTAGGCACAAGCTGTGGTGATGATGATGATGATGATGATGATGATGATGATGATGATGATGATAATAATATTAATGATAATAATAATAATAATATTGCGTTATCTTACATACTAGGCGATAATACTGCTATATCAGCTATAATTTATAGTTTAAAAAATATGTAAAACCTATCCTTAAATACCTATTATGTCCTTAATAATTACAATATAATATTATTCGTACCAATATTGACATTATAAACTTAGTACAATAATAATATTATATCATAGTACCACTGTTATAATAAGAAAAATAATAATATTATAATTATTTCATATTTGGTGTCACAGTTGTCTGTTCCGTGTCTTTCGAGGGGTGATTAAAAAAAAAAAATAATCTCAAAACTTTTTAATATTAAAAAAAAAAAAATGTTACTTCGGCGGCGGAAGCGGCTGCAATGATCGGTTTTCGTCGTCGTAATATTAGTCCGACAACAAAATGGCGGCATCGGCGGCTGCAGCGGCGGCGAACCGTATGACCGACGTCCGCCGGGGCGTCTGCTGCTGCGGTGCCGCTTGACGACGTTATCCGCCCCGAGTGGCCGTGTCCCGTTCGTCCGGCTGTTGCGGCGACGACGGCGATGACGACGACGACGGAGACGATGCGGCGGCCACCGCGGCCGCCGGCGCGCAACCCGCCTCCAGGTGCTTGTTCAGGTACGACTTGAGCGCGAACGACTTGCGGCACCAGTGGCACGCGAAGTTCTTGTCGCCCGAGTGGGTCATCATGTGCGCGCGCAGGTTGGACCGGTCCGCGAACGCTTTGCCGCACTGTGCGCATGCGTACGGCTTCTCGCCGGTGTGCGACCGCAGGTGGCCCTGCAGCAGCCACGGCCGGCTGAACATCTTGCCGCACACGCCGCAAGCGTGCGACAGCTTGTGAGTGAGCAGGTGCATGGCGAGCGCGGGCATGCTCACGTACGCCTTACCGCACGCGTTGCACCGCTTGGCCGACTGCGAGTCCAGGCTCCGGTGCGTCTGCTTGTGCCGCGACAGGTTTGACGACGTCGCGTAGTGCTTGCCGCAGTCAGTGCACGTGTAACGGGCTGTAGTACATGCGGTGTCGGACATGGAAAAACACGAAATTAGCATATTTATTATTTGTTTTTAATCTTTTCACACCCCAAAGGGTTAAAGAGCGCGGCTACACACATATATATATATATATACTAATGTATACGATAAATGCATGTTATAGGTTTAACTAACTAACCAGAGAAGAAAGGGAAAAAAAGCAACAAACATAATATACACTAAACACCGTCTGTAGGTTTAAGTTTAACTAATATTCATGTTCATAATTTTTCGTTTATTATAATATTATAATAATCTAATTTGTAAAAGTTTAATTACTGCATGGTGTTGGTATACCTATAAAGAGAATTGAAAATCGTATGGGTGTATGAATTCGGGCAGATAGAACATTGCAGGTTTCTGTTTGCTTTTAACCGTAACCTTGCCTGAAATTGAGAGCTTGCCTAACCTAACTTCCTATTTTTAGGTTTATTCTAGAAAATTTGATTGTTAAAAAAATATTATTGAAAGTGTAATACAGTGGGCTGAAAAAATGTGTTAACGCTTTCAGTTTTGGCGTAGTGAAACAACTTTTAAGGTTTTGGTTTTGGTCACAGAGTTGTGGTGTTATAATGAATAATAAGTTCTATACGACTATTATTAAACACTTTAATAAAGTGAAACTATCGATCGATCTTTGTATGAGTAGAAATTCATCAACAATTCTGAAAAAAGACAACATTCTGTAGATATGACAAGATGTTTTGATTACGAAACGTATTATTATTACAAGTCTGAAGTATAAAATGTTGATGCTTAAAATATATTATGCTCAAAGCTCGGGTGTGTAAAAGCGACTAACTTCTTTCCTCGGGTTTCGCGAGGTCAAAAACAAAAACCTATTCAGGTCAACTGATTCATACTAATTGCAAAATTTAATGATAAATAATACCTACGCAATACCGGGGGCCATTACCCGGTGGGTGGGGTAACCTCCCACCCATCGTCGTTTAGAGCGCACCACAGAACAGCGTTCATAATCGGATGATATTTTTCTCACATAAATAATAATGAGAGTAAACATTTTTAAAACCATAGAGAATATTATATATACTACCGGAAAAAATTAATGTGGTGGAAAAATGAAAAAAGTCGCAGAGGAAATTATTTATATAGTAATGTATTACGTATTATGCGCTTCGAGAAATTGAGAGAGAGAGAGGAAGAGAGAGAGAAAGTGAAAGATAAGGGATAGTGGGATGGATGGGAAACCGAGCGGGAAAAAAATTGATACACCATCTAACTTTACATAAGATATAATAATTTAACGTGGGGAAAGAAAGAAACGACGAGTGAAAAGCGTCTCAGAGCGTCCGGTATCAAAAGAAATATGCGTGTAACTCTGTTATAAAATATCTCAACCCCACGGGTATAATTTAAAAGAAAATGTGATTAAAGAACTGTCCATTGCCCGACGACAGAGTAGGCGGATTCGATACCAAGTCAAATCGGAAATATATAGTTCTATATAAAAAAAAACGATTTATCATTTATTATTAAAACGGATAGTGTGCCGCCCAATATTTATTATTGTAATTATAGTTCAATCGGCCATAATACACTATTGATATTACGACTGTATCATTACAAAACGTTCACGGACCTAAACGTTTCTCATTTTGTCCTGGTACCTATGTAATAACACACGTTATACATGAAAATATTTAACTCGTAATAAATGTTCTGATACAATCGATCATATTTTTGTTATTTCATGTTGACACACTATTGAGGTACGGATTCGTATACACCACCATTCAGTGGTGGTGGTACTAATTATTTTAATGTGATTTTTTTGATAAAAATTACTTTTGGCTTTATTATTTTTCATATTTGTTATTTTTGGAGTATTTTTTTTTTACAAAAAAAATTTTAATTTGATTTTAAATAAAACATTAATTAAATTTCTACGGTTTCAGGGATATTGTCATGCACCCGAATAATTAAGATACACTGTCTTAACATTTATTACTGTAATTACAATTTTTGTATGAAACTCGATCTATATCAAGCTTATTATTGTAATGAAAACCATCGATATAATTGAATGTATGTTTTATGATATTACTATTAAACAGATTTAATTTAAATGTTTGAAAAAATTAGAAGACTTATTGCCATACATTATAATTTATAATATTATTGAAACATGATGAAAATATAAAACAAAAATTGTGTTTAAGTTCATTTTGTTTTCTTTTTGTTATATTATATGAATATCTAAGAAACAACTATTTTAACAAAACTTTTATAATTTTAAGTTAATTTTACGATTTTCGGCATATCAAGATTCTAGTAAAGTCTATTATGAAATAACCTCACCGAAAACGTCGATGGAAAAAACTCGACACTATATTAATATTATTACAGTAAATTCCTTATCACTACATCCCACGATCGGAAGCGGAATTAACGAATTTCTGAAACGTAAGTGACCACACACATATTCTATTATAATACACACGTCCGGTCATGGTGATTTTATCCGGTTTAAGGATTATTATATTATTATAAGATCTCCATAGTAATGTCACTGTGACATATAAGATCGTGTAGAATGGTGCAATTATATACTATAAGAATAATATAGTGGGGTGGCTCGTGATTGGAGTATATTTTTCTAATACACCAACTAGAATCGCTTTCCTTTCAGTAAATTTTATGCTGAAGTTTAAAATGTGAATTTTGATAACAAAATTTTTCCAAAAGTTGATGACAGACAGAAAAAAAACACATCATTGTAGGATCAATAAATTCTTTCGCTAAGCTCAGAATATAAAATTACGTTTTTTACGTGTGTGTGTGTGTGT